GTGCCGCGACTATGACACATTAATACACAAATCACCCAAGAAAAAATATTCACTATCAAAACACAAAGAAAAAATCAGAGGCATTAAATACTTTCATTGAAAATTGGTAACCGTCTATTTGACATTAAAATCCTCTACAGACTCATTAACATACAGTGATTACAGTGGGGGGAAAAATTGTCCTGGAACAAGCCCGGACCAAATATTTGTTTTCCAGCCCTCCATTATTTTTTTACATAAAATAATAAATACAAATGCTATAAAAAACTCTTTAAAATGCACCAGATACAGCAATTTATTTTACCTATTCTAAAATTTCATTTGGCTACATAGATTTTTTTCGTTCTTTTTTTTTTTTGGTTATTTATGTTTTCATAGAGAGTGGGTAACCTATGTGCTCCAAAATAAACTGTGCATGTATCTCCAAAATACATCACCTCCATCTCTTATAATTATGGAGAATGAAAAATATACATATAATTTTTTCTCCATTTCTTGGAAATGCAGTTATTTTCTCCATAGACTTTTGAACATTTTCTCCTAAAATATTGCTTTTTCCAGGCTTTGTGCAAAATATATAAGAACAAATGAAGTTGGCCACAATCACTGTCTCAAATTAAAAGACAAGCAATTCTTGTTACAATTACGTTAGTATAATAGTAAGTTGAGGCTGAATTTGTACATGATTCACTGGCACAAATAAGACACAAACAAATGAACAAACAAGATGGCCGACACAAGCACCTGCCCTAGTTACTAGGCAACTACCATATAGGCACTACAGTGGTTTCAGAGACAAACACATTTCAACTAACCACCCCCCCCCCCTCAAACAAATTTGTGATACACAATTTCAAGTTTTCCCAAAATATTTGGCAAAAAGCTGTTTCTTTTTTCCCTTTCTTAAATTGGGATATTTCAAGATCAGCCTTAAAAGTCTACATCACTAAAACAGTTGTGATATTAATTAAATATGGTTTCTTCAAACTGTTAATACTGTGTGCATGCATTAGGGGAAATGAACGACACAAAGTTAAAAATCATTGGGTTATACAAGATTAAAAATCCATCTTTGTTTGTTTTTTTCAAATAAGCCCAAGACTCCGTGCAAGAATATTAAAATTGCGAGAAAAAAAATTATTTACAATAAATGTACTCTTGAAGTGCAATAATAATATGGTATCCCTGACAGCCCTATGCAATATGGAATGGTCCGCCCCAACCATTGAACCAGGCCTGCATGTCAGAGTCAAAATGTGAAAAAAAAAACAATTTTGGGATGATTCATGGTTTTGAATACATCAAAAGTACATAAAAAAATTAACATCTTGTCATAAAAATACAACATTGGCATAAACTGTCATATAGCCTTAACACTGCAAGCTTTTGGTCACCAACCTAGGGAGTGTTTTACACATCATCACTGAGATAAGAGGCATTAGACAATTACTAGATATATGCAGTGAGTCACGGAAAAATACGCTGAAACTGATCTGGGTATGGGTATGTTATACACGACACAGTTTCAACCTCACTGTAACAAGGTATCACAATCGTGTCCAATAAGAGGAGCAATTTCTCAGACAAGCTGGACCCCATAATGCATCATTTTCAGTGTACAGACATCAAGCATGTTTATTTCACAGTGTTGACACAAATTCTCTATCGACACGGCAATAGAAAGAGAGTAGCTAAATATATTGTAAATTAAGAAAATATATTCTACAGCGAATTTTTAAAGAGCAGAAATTAATTATAAACGGCAATTTTAACAGATAATGAAATTAACTTGTCATGATTGAAATATAAAGCCTGTTGTGCGCATAAATTTGTTCACAATTCAATGCCAATGTCAAATTTCACATCTGATCGATTTGAAGAACTCCAATTGTATAGTATTTTTTTTTTTGAATTGCTGTATAAATACAAGTCAAGTTCAATGATCAGTTTGAACAATACCAGTGAGTTAGGTAGGACTATATCCAAAACCCCCTAGTTTACAGGTGATTCTTAACAAAGAGTGTGATAGTGTTGCTTTCTTTAAGCTACCTCAATGCATTATGGGTAAAAATGATCTGAGTTGAATAATGGCAAACCAAAAAATATCCCACATATTTTTTTCACCATGATAAGTATAAGCTTGCATTGCTACATTTTGCTGACAAACATGTTTCATAGCAACCAAAGAACTTGAAACAGCCGCAGCATAATTTTATTGCGAGTACAAGCATGTTGCCTCTTATTTCAACATGTTTTTGGGTTTTTTCAGCTAAATTGTTGACATGAGGAACTGACAGAGAATGGCAGAATTGATGAAAAAGCTATATAATCAATAAGAGTAGCAATATCGATGAGAGTGGTTATAGGATTGGATCAGATTGTAGAGAAATTGGATGGTTCCATGATGACCTTTACAGCAGACATTGAACTTTACAAAGGAAATGATGCACTATTAAAATCCAGAAATAAATAAAAAGGTTCTGGTCAATTAATTTTATCAAAAAATCATGTGGGAACATGTTTTTTCATTTAAATTTTAAAATTATGCTTTATTTTGATTTTTCATAAAAATTAGATTTTGCTTTTGTTTCTAATTTCAGATTCTTGATGAGCACAATGAGCAGAAACAAGAATAACTATTTTCTGAGCAAAATAATATTTTCTTATTATTATTATTGATTTCCGTGAAAACATGCACAAAAAACTGGAGTGGCAACACTTTAACATTTAGGCAACATTCATCAATTTGTTTTGGTCCAAATTTAGAAGATTTTCCCGGCCCTGCAACTTCAAAATTGTTTTTTTTTTTTTTTTACTTTCTTTTACGCTAAAAAACATGGGAAAAAAAAAACTGCAAAAAATGGAATACCATGATTGTCTATTTTCATTTTTAAAAATGCACATACTATTTGTTAAAAATTGATCTGTGATGAGAAAATCACTGTGTGGATAAAACGATATGCCAAAATACACTACAAGCCTTAAGATTTCAGTTAAAAACAAACAGGCACAAACAAATTAAAAGTCTTCAATTGTTCCCGGAATATAATTGGTCAGTGATTGTCATGTGATTGGTTATGAAGTTTTAAAAATAAAATAAAATATCTTCTACATCTTTTTAGGTAAATTGTACTCTTCAGCTTTGCAGCCAAATTGGCAATTGTGAGTTTTTAAGGAAGCCCAGAATAACAAGTCCACTGGGCAAGCCCATTCACTCCCTCCCCCAACTTGTACTGAGTGATGATATTGAAACATCAGTTGCCTCCCTTGCATGTGTTACTTCATAAGGTCACCATTGGTAGGTCATGTGAGCGTATGTGATATCCTTTCCTTGAAATGTTTCTTGGATCTGGATTGCATCGTTTTTGGCAGTTATATTCAGATTTCTTGTTACTTCACGGCAATTTACTAAAATTCACAACAGAAATTTACAATAAGTGTGACAATAAATGTGACAATAAGTAGCATAGTTGGTTGATTCAGACAATAGTCAAGAGGACAAAAATACTGCAAACTTGTAAAATTTGATGATCTAAAGGCGTTTGTGAAGATGAAAGTCCACAAAAGTGATTTCATTTTAAGGCAGTTTTAGCCAAATTCACTACTGAGCATGTTACTGCACATGAATGCAATGCATTATGGGAGAGAGCATTTAATACATCATAACCAAATATGGAAATCAAAATACCAAATATGGTATACGAATGAATTAACTCTTTCACCATATATGGAAGTTGTGAGCAAACTTACCTGAGTATTTCATATTCTTGTCTAAACATGCTTATTTCATCTGCAAGTCTGTTGTTGCAATTCTTGAGGGATTCTATCTCTTCCGCGCACTGAAAAATAACAACGAACACTTTTATTTTAGAACTAATATCGGAATCAACCATCCATAAAATATACATCAAAGAGACAAAAATATTTATAACCCCCCTTATGAAACTTCTATTTTTATAAATAATTTTTTTTACAGATGAGAGAAATTATTATTATGTGAACGTGCGAGTACATGGATTATGATGCACAATTTGTATACGGCTTGCACACACATATATGTACGCTTCTTTAGCAAAACTGTACGAGCCATCAATTACAATAACACATCTCATTCTACGGTTGAGAACATTTCGAAATAATAGACACTGTGATTTGCATATTGTGTCAGCCAAGAACCAATAATAATCTACATAAACTCAGACTGTGTAACCGACGTATTTAGAATGCTAGAACATGCATTTGATGAGAAGCGCTTAACTGATGCTAGATAACGTGTGTTACGGCAAGATAATAAATAGCCAAGGTGTTAATGCAGGTTTTGCAAGTTACCGTGAGGCAATCAAACGCTCTAAAATTAACGCAATGAAAAGCTCATATAATTCACACAAAGGTATGGGCAGCCTTAATGTACTAAAACACTTAAATTTAAAATTAAGCACATTTTCCCCTTCAAACAAATCCTAGTTTTATAGTTATATTTCATAAAAATACTGAAACATTCTCATCAAGTTTCAGGCAGTGTTTCCGGAGAAATTTATAGTGTACAGACGGGGGTAAAAAAATCTAACTGTTACTGTTTTATTGCCGGGAATCAAGTATCTGTCATCAAAACAGAGTTTGGAGGCACAGATTTTTTATTTGCCACTTCCAGAAATAGAACGAGAATTTACAGTTTTGCCCGCAAAAATGTGACAATTATGGCACTATTCAAGACAAAAAGTGCAATAAAGTACGACTTATTCAGCTTTATGAGACTCATGAATATGTAAATTTTCGACCTTTGTCCACCCAGTGCGGAATTTTTTGTAATTTTGTGAGATGCTTCGAGAACGGTAGGTTAAGTAATTTTGACAGAATAGGTTTTGGTTTTTTTCTCTTTTCAAATTTATTGTACATAAAAAACAGCAACAATAGCAAGGGTGTGTTTTTAATAACCTTTACAGAATTTGTATAC